TGGCCGGCACCTGTGGTCCCAGCTACTTGGGAGGCTAAGGCAGGAAACTTGCTTGAGCCCAGGAATTGGAGATTGCTGTGAGCTGTGATACCACATCACTCTACCCAGGGGGACAGCTTGAGGCTCTGTCTCAAAAAAAAGAAAAAAAAAATAAGTTGAGTTTCAGGTAATTTTAAAACAGCACAGCTGTCTAGGCCCTGCCTTGCTTGGTCTTGTATGTACATCCTGAGGGGCCAGGCCTCTTGTTTTGAAACTTTTCCTGGTGGCTCTGGGTCTGGCATCTGTGCTGGTGAACTGGTCAGAAATGACTTGGATTCCCCACTCAAGACATACTGGAATGATTTTGGAAGTGCTAGAGGCCTTTGGGAGAAGACTAGAGGCTTTTGAGTGGACAGAGTTGCTTTATCCTAACTAGGAAAGGAACCTGGAGCTCTATAAAACAAGGACAGTTTCAGTAAAACAGCCAAGGAGAAGCTTTGTGGCTGAAACTCTATTGTTGAACTTACAGGTATTTTTCCTTTATGAGGAACTAACGCAGTCAGACTCACATGTTAACTGCTTAGAAGGGACTGTTCCCAGAAGAGGGGCCCAAGGGGAATGAATGAGTCAGCAGCCAGCTCCCAGTGGCAGTATGTGTGGAGTGAGCAGTGGCTTCCAAGTGCAGAGCCCAGGCCTTTTTTTCATAGGTGTGTGAGAAGCAGCTGAGTGAGTCCCCCTACTGAGGGCCAGGCTTGTTCTTGGCTAGCAGGTTGCAGTCTAGAAAGTAAAGCAGCTGGGGCCTTCCTGGTCATAGTATCTTTGATAAACACACCCACACGTAGAGGCTCTGGGGGCAGTAGGTCATAGGCCACTGCATGGTGTTGTAAGCTCTGAATTGTCAGGGTGTTTTCAAATTGGAGAAACCTATAATCTATAACCTTTCTCCTCCATTACAGAAGAGTCAAATCACTCACCCATTTTAAAATATGTACATTTCTTTCAACTTTTCTGTTTGCTTCAATCTTTTAAAGAAAAGTTGGAAAAAAGGTAAACAATTTATTTTATTTATTTTTGGAGTTTTACTTCGTTGCCCTCAGTAGAATGCCATGGCATTATAGCTCATGGCAACCGCAAACTCTTGGTCTCACGTGATTCTGTTGCCTCAGCTTCCTAAGTAGCTGGGACTATAGGCGCCTGCCACAACATCCAGCTATTTATTT